TCCTTTTTAGGCTTTCCCTTTCGGGCTTCCCCTTAATGTTTTAAAACGCGTCTGCGTCCGCTAGGGAGATGTTTCCACAAACTTCTAAGCAATGATTGGTTATGCTCTCCAACCTTATACATAATTTTTTTTTTCTTTCTATTTTTGAAGTGTATGAGATACTAACATGGTATCAGAACCATGTCCTTGACATCATGTCAATAAATCCTCAAATTTTGAACAAATAAGTTGTGAGCATTGAAGGTGTAGTCAAAGTGACTCAAGTGTCGAACAAATGGTGTACTTTGTACGAGGGCTCTGGAGAAGGAGTCGAGCCTCAATTAAAGAACAAAACATTCCTTATAAGGGTGTGGAACCTCTCCTTAGCATACGCGTGTTAAACCGTGAGGTTGACGTCAATACATAACGAGTCGAAGCAGACAATATCTACTAGTGATGTGCCAGAGAGGACGCTAGGCCCCCAAGGGGGTGGATTGTGAGATCTCACATCGGTTGAAGAGGGAAACAAATCAATCTTTATAAAGGCATCAGAGCTAGTCACAAGAGGGTGCGAGGCACTAGTCAGAGTAGTGGTAGACTTTCTCCATAGTAGACACGTTTTAAAATTGTGAGGCTGACATCGATACGTAACAGGCCAAAATGGACAATTTCTGTTAGTGTTGGGCTTGGACTTTTACCCCTCACATGCGCGTGTTCAAATCTACCTATGTGAAGAGGATGCAAAACCCACCACCGCATCTAGTCATTTTGTCGTTGCTCATTCTCGTTAGGTCTGAGTGTTTGCCCTTTTCTTCTTCGTACCCACTCACGCTTTATTGAACTATTAGACATGCAGATTCACCTTGATACAACAACTTAGCTAGCAACTCTTAGATGTTAGCTTACTCGATACGACTACAAACGGTAGTTGAAGGTAGCTGGAACGGTGCGTGGAAGGTTCAACATAATAACAATTTTCTATTAATATGTTGAATATGAAAATACTATAATAATGTCATTTTTTAATATTCAAAACTTTAAAGAAAATAGTAACCTAAGCTAATAATCTAAAATATTTGTAATATCACTATCAAATCCCCAATTACGTAGTTACGAGAAATTCTAACGACACGTGGCAATGACCCACTGGCCAATCCAGCCAACTCATCAAATTCTAAAACCTACTTCACAATTACAGTTATGTCATAAGCTTACACTTGGCCACTCCGTTGCTTACTTGCTTGACACGTGGCAATTCCTTAAAGGGCAAAAGTGGAAGAAATTTTAGTTCATATTATTATTTGATATATTATTTTAGGGCTAAATATAATCTTTTAAATTTTCTAATTATATCATTAAAATTCTTATTTGATAACAATTGTCTCGAAAATAGAGTTACAGTTCAATCTAGCCCTATTTTTCAAAAAATTAAGAATATATAACAATTGTAATAGGTGTCGCGTTTGATATTTGAATTTTTTGAGTTTTAGTAATTAATATAACACGAACGGTGAATAAGTATAATTTTTTCTTTTAAAACAAACAACTTGACAACCTAACCCGAAAATAAAATGTTGGGTTGAGTTAAGTTGTGAACTCTAATTGGATTGATTAGGTCTTATATTATTATTTTTTAATTTTATTTTTATAATATTCTTATGATGTGACAATAAATAAAAAAAAGTCTTCTAAAGTTTCGACATCAGCCACGTGTAGGCTGATCATTGGTTCGCTTGACCAAAGGCTATCCTTGATCTTGCGAAGTTCAAGATGAATTCAGTTTCCAATGAATTCAAAATCATCAAGAATATTAATATTCTCCAAAAATAAAATAAAAAATATAAATTTCATAATTAATTAAGAATAATTGATTTTTCTAGAAGCACTTATCTAATTTAAATCGTGTTAAATTCAAACTCGCAAAGAAAATTAATATTCTTCAAAAAGAAAAAAAAAAGTGAAAATAAATTAATTTTAAAAATAGTTGAAAAAATTATCAAATTTAAAATTTAATTGAAACAATTCTAGGTTCGGTTACCTCGGGAGAATTTTCCTAAAATGCATGTGAGTGATGACAAAGTATGCTAGAATGACTTATATTGGTCGGTGGGGATATTTTTCACTCTTAAGAAGCGAGAAATAGATAACTTGACCATGTCACAGGTGAATGTCGAGATCGTCAGGTGCCAAATCTGGATTCTGAATGCTAGACATGAATTGTTATAAATGGTATCAGAGCGGTACTTCTCCTAGTAAGATGTGGTTTGGGGACAAACTAAGGTGGAAGCTGGTGGGCGTGTAACAAATGAAGGATACATGAATGAGTTAAGATCGCATCTAAATGAGAGTGTCCTAATGATAAGATGGTTAAACAAGACTTAAAAGTTAGAACATAAGACAGAAGCGAGAGAATTTAACCTAAAAACTATCTCTTTGATACTCGGAGCTTAAACAAAGAGTCATTCAGATAAAATTTGCAAAACAATTGAATTTTGAATAACGTGCAAATGAAGGATTGATAGCAACGGATGATATATTTGAAAGAACGTAAATGAATGTCAAGACGATATTTGGACGTGTTTTGATACCCAAATTTGGATTACTTTGTAATGTTACTAAAGAAACATAATAGGGAAAATGACACGCCATTTTGAAACTGATAACGAGGTAATGATACCTTTAAGGAGTGTATGCCAAAACAAGACCATATTGAAAATGTAGTTAAATAAAGTAAGAGAAGCAAAATTAGGTCAAATTCGAAGAACAAAAGTCGAAAATATTGTAAAACTCTCGCAACATATCGTTTTTAGTTCAGATAATAAGACGTTAATTTTTATAGTTTCGGATACGCCTTATAGGTTAAGAATTGCCTCGAATGCAAGTCGAGAGTGACTTATTTATTTATCGAAAGAAATAAAAAATTAGATTCAAGATAATTTTAGGAATTTTCTAATTTTCTATACATTTATTTCGATAATAAATTTTATGTTAAAATATAGTTGTGGAAAAAAAATGCTAATTTTTTGTTTTTATTTATTGTTTCTCGGTATCTCGGGTATTCCAAGCTTTTTTTTTTTTTTTTTTTTTTTTTT